CATAGCAATTGAAAAAGATCAATTAGTGATTATTCAGAGGAATAGTAGGCACAGAGGAACCAGTGTGGGCAAAGAGGAACATTAGGCACGGAGGCAAATCGATCGCAATTCTTACCAGGTCGTCCGGCAGCTGTTTCTCCGGGAATAACTGTTAGCACATCGATTTTATAACAATTTCTTTATGTCGAACATGAATCTCGTTTGCAGACTCGATTCCAGAATAGTCTGATAAAAAAATTTAAGCTAATCGAGAACGAACGTTGTCTATCCCTCATTCTTGTAAAGAGCTTTATGCAAATTTCTGTTGACGTTACGCGACGACCCAAACGAAAGCTCTGCTGTATATTTATTGACTTCTGATGATAAACACGCTGTTTGTGGAACGGATTTGCCCCTAATAAACTTCTTTACCGAAAATATTTAGTGTTGTTCTTCTTTGTAGAGGAGACTTTCGATCACGTGCCGGGCAACGAAAAAGATCAAGTTTTACCGATATGCAGATATGGGACGACCCTTGGGGATTTCAGACACCGCCGTACGATGATACTCAAGGTATAACGGACATGAAAACGGGCAAAAACCGCGGAAAGGAACTCAAGAACGTGTGAATGAATTTTTCACCTACTTGCTGCCAAAAAGCTGAACGTGAATGCACTACAACGATCTATTGCCAGCGTAATTCGATATTCCATTAGGCAAAAAATATATATATGTATATTATAGTATCTTGACCGGCCAAAATTGGGGTTTGTCCGGGCTAAAAAATATTTGGCCGGTCATCAGGACCGGCGACCTGCTGTCCGATATTTTGAGCCCTGTGATATATAAACAAAAATAATAACAATTTGCTATTTACTTATAAAGATCAATGGTACTTTACAATATTATTGTTCAAATATCTATGAAATGTGAAAATAGTCAACCGTAAAGCTGATAATAAAAAATAAACACATGCCTAATAATATAACAACTCATAACTAGTATTAAAATCACATAATGATATATTGAAAATTAAAATTCACTTCTCAAAAAAATTGTGTAAAAAGGAATGTTCTGGTTGAGTTCTTAAAATTCCCAGAGAATTTATATTTAGAAGTTGTAAAGGCAGCTCATTCCATAAATGTGGTGCTGCCGCCTGAAATGCATGCTTTCCGAGTTTTTCTAGCATCTTACCTTTGGTTGCTGTAATAAAATACCCAAGTTGGATCTCAGATTATAGCAGGACTTGCATTTAAAGGCTAGACTGCCTATTTACAACTTACAAAACAAATCACTTAATCTCTGACTGGTCCCTAGCTACAAACTAGTCAAGTTTGTTTCCCCCAAAATAATGTTTTTAACATTGTAGTTAGAGTCAGGAAACAAAACTAAATGTTTCCCCCAGGACCTAAAATCCACACACATACCGTAAAATTCCGAAAATAAGCCCCTCCAAATATAAGCCCCCTAAACCGGTAACGCAAAAACCCCTCCGTTAAATCGCCCCTCCAAATATAAGCCCCTCGGGGGCTTGTACTTGGAAAATTGCCCTCAAATACAAAGTAAAACAAAGCAAAAACGGTAAGTTTACTTCCAACTATAAGGCTAGCCCAATCGATTTTGAAACGCAAATTTGCCTCCGTAGATAAGCCCCTCCAAAAACAAGCCCCTCAAAAAGGGCCTTTGGAAAATATAAGCCCCGGGCTTATTTTCGGAATTTTACGGTATTCTCCAAACTGATGTCCATACATTTTTCTTTTAATGAATTAATTAAGAGAATTTGATAAAAGATCAAAACATTTTCCCCTAGTTGATATTTTGCTAATTCTCGAATATAATTTTTTCTTTTGACTAAAAATGTTATGAATTTTAAGAAAACTGATACTTATCACTGTTGGGACTTGTTGAACTGAAGGGTTAAGCGTTTAATATCCTGCACGTACGTTTAGTAAAAATTTACTGACCATTCTAATCGTCATAACCAATTTCTGCAAGTACCTATCCGTAAAAATATTTGATCAATGTATTAAAACTATCGTGCGTTTTTCTGTTGGGTAACAGTGTACACTAATTTCTAGTTATTTGCGGTTCAAATTATCACTTAAGCTAATTACGCAATACTAAATATTCTAATTAAACACTGAAACGTCCCCTGCACTGTAAACAACGTCCTTCTAGAAATTACATTGTATACTAACCTAATTTATTTCCTTCTCTGTGATGTCCAAGTTGTCCATTTTGTCTGTTACCACAGGTGTAAACAACACCGTCGTTTTATAAAACAGCTGTGTGCTCCCAGCCACACGCAATGTCTTTAACTTCTGATAGCGAGCCAAAACTGACATCGACATTTCGCGGTGTCAAGACTGGCTCGTCTTCCGTTTCCCCTAATCCAGGCTGTCCTTCAGCGATTTTGCCCCAACAAAACATAATCAAGTCTTTTTTCTCATAAGTATAGAGTTCTACCGTTTATATTTCCGTAACCATGAGGCTCCCCGCTCGGCAGCCTAGCCTGCAGAGGACTCAGAAAGCTGACGGAAACTTCCTTTTTCTCTACGTTCCGCCATATTGTTTCCTTCTTCCAGAAAGAAACTAGCCCCAGTCGATAACGGGGGGTAGGAAAGTCACGTGATCTCAACTTTTTGCGACTTCGAAAAATAAACTCATTTTATCACAGGCCTCCCAAGCTAACGCAAAAAGTGTGGAATGTAGCATACGGTAGGCGACAGTTGAGGCCTTGTACGTATGGGAAATAAATTACTGAGGTCTGCAAACGCTATATATCGTTTTATTATATAGACACAAGTGTTTTACTTGAAAATATACCACTCGTAAAATTCATAAAAACTACATCCGGGACCCGAGTGGTTTATTTTCTCACACGTGAGATTATCGATGACGTAATTTCGGTCATTTCCCTCTATAAATTTTATCGATGTCTTTTTGTCTATATAACAAAAAGAACATTACACGTCGGCTTGAAGATATGAATTTTATCTTCTCGTGGCAAAAACAATATTTTGCTCACACGCTGCGCTCGTTCGTAAAATATTGTTTTGCCACTCGAAAATAAAATTCATATCTTCGCGCCACCGTGTAATATCCTCTATGTATTTTACCTTTGGATCAATATATGTAGACCTGGGTGAGAGGAGACAAAGCAGAGCAAAGGTTCTTGTCTGACGAAACAACGTGACAGCCTTTTCTTTTTGTTTTTTGCTTCTTGGTAGTTGCCTATTTACAATCTTTGTTCTCGTGAATCGAACACTCGTTTAATTAACTTTTCCCTGAAAATATCATTGCTTAAAATTGGTCCTCCTCCTTGATTTCTTCAGTGTTGCTCAAGGAAATAACTTGTTACGGTGGAACTCCGTTGATTAAGGGCGCTTTCCATTCAACACAAAATTCAGGAAATTTCGTATGCTACATCAAATGGAACGGACAAATTTCGGTTTGGTCCGACCGGAATATTCGGGACCAGCTTTGATGGTGGTCCACCTTGACAGGTCTGGTCATTTCGGACAGTCGGACCGAAATGTCCCTTTCCATTTGACATAATTCTTGTCCCCAGTACCGCTCTTTTATATCCCTCTTTCAAGAACGATTAGACTTCGAGCAGTCTCTCTTTTGCTCGAATATCTTTAAGCGACAGTATTTGAGCAGCGAAATCGCGCACGTTGCGAACTTGTGCCCTCGCAACTCGCGCGACCTCGCTGCTAAAATCCTCTAGCTTACAGATTTTCGAGCAAAAGAGAGCTGCTCGCTGTCTAAAGAACATTATAACCAACGCGCGCAACGAGAATGTACCGTTCCATTGGGCACGTAAAATTTCAGAAATTTCAAACGGGAATTTTTGTTCAATGGAAAGCGCCTAAGGCCACAAATGGTCAAAAAAGTTTGACGGCATAAACAGCGTGGCCGTATTACCGCGGCAGTGTAAGTTCTTGAGTTAAGGTGATGATACACGGCTGCATGGAATGACAAATGCATCATACACCCTGCATTGACGTTCGTCTGCATTCGCACTTCCTGAACAACTGTTTTCTCTAATAAACAATTAGCCAAACCGGAATATAGATACCGCTACAGTAATTGCAAAAACTACTTGAAACTTCTCTTTAGTAAATAAAACACTTATAGTAAAAATGGGCCATTAAACCACCAAAAATACATTTAAGTGTAGTCTAAAAGCAATACAGGAACAGACTTTAGCTTGCTAGTTCAGTGAAATTGCGGCTTGTCACAGGCATTTCAAACTTCTAAATTTCCAATGAGAGGCTTTATTTACGGGGTGAAATTTTAAAAGAATCTACTGCTTGGGATTGAAAAATGTGGCCTTTGGCCTTTTAATGGCTGACTTCATTAACAAAAGTTTTTTTAAAAAGAAACTCGAAAATGTATGGCCATTTTGCCGGGCCAAAAGAATTGGCCGTAATACAGAGGTGATCGTATTGTTAGGATTCGTTCGCTGTAACGAGATTTCGTTATATCGAGGTTCTTTTTCATGTATCTTATTATCAGTCTGAGGGAAGGAAAATTGTTCCTTGTACCGAGAACTTTGTTATATCGAGGTTCCGCTGTATTGATAAACAACATAGGCGCCTTGTCACGCCGCAAACCAAGAATACCTGCATCGCGGCTTTTTTTATTTTTTACCTATACTTTATTTTGACTTACTTTATTTAGTTTTTTTTTCTTTCTATCTTATTATTATTATTATTATTATTATTATTATTATTTTTTTTGAAATGCAATTACTAGTCCCAATCTTGTCCGAAGTGTTTCGTACCGTAATTAATAGCATTCGCCATTTTCGAACCGAGATGGGAACTAGAGTCGAAATGTATCCCGTCATTCAGATTCAGTTTCTTGATGGTTTACGGAATCGTTTACAGGGGACGTGTCGGTCAGCTATTGGCCAATTTTTTTCCATCTCTTCAGTAACAGTTCCAGAAGCCTTTGCGAAACCAATTCACACGGCCCTGTTCCCTTCTCATTTTTTAAAGGGACCTACGTTTTAATCAGTCACGTGAGAGTGCCGTCTGAGTGGGATTGCTTAATGGAAATGTTGGATTTACTATATTTCTTGTTCGACGACTAAAACAGCAGATCATACTTTTGAACTTCCTTCTGAATCGCTGGTTGACCAAAGCATACACAATCGGATTGATAGCGGAATTGAACAAAATCAATGTGTTGGTTAGCGCCACTGGAAGGGAAGTGCGTACGACAGAAAAATCGGAAAGAATAAAGTTAGAGGCGTCTGTAAGCCAGCAAACAGCAAATACCACACTGACAATTAAAACCATTAAGGTCACTCGCTTTCTTATCTTCAAGACACCCTGCAAAAGAGAGACAAATTGTCAGAATTGTCATTGTCTCGACATCGTCTAATAAAAGTTATTTGTAAGACGTAAGCGTCATACAGTGCTCGTTTTCTTTATAGTAGATGGGAGCTTATTAGAAGCTACGGGCTGATAATTATTGGCGCCTTATTCTAAGAGGCTAATTTAATAGAATGGCAGGAGGCTTGAATTAGAGCCTGTGGCAAAATAGAGCAAATGCACTGGTCAGTTCCATAAAAAAATTATCCATGATCGATCCAGTAACACCTCTAGCCTTTCGTAGCGATGCAGTTAAATTAGAGAACTTTAGATTCAAGGACGAGGGAGACAACGAGAACGAGATTTAACTTAAATGTGATCTTAAAAACTAGACACCGCAGAGAGCGTTATTTATTTATTTTTTTCACCAGAATAGTTTCACGGCTATGTTTATTGAGGAAGTTAATCCCTCTCCAGATCGCAAACTTTTAAAACTTCTAGCATTTTGATAACTTGTTTCCGTCACTACATCATTTTTCGCTAAAACCCGTAGTACAATGATGAAGGCTATCACCTTTTCCCGCCAAAATGACCCTGGTTCAAGCGCGCGCACTACTTAATAGTACTGAGAAAAGCTGGCGGGAACTCGTGGTTGTCCTCGTCTTAAGACGAGGACAACCACGAGTAAGCTTAGAATCTAAAGCTCTAAACACATGAAAACAGCACAATATGACCATGTTTCCAAACCTGTTGTCTGACACTGTTTTCAGTAGAATTCTCGCTTTTAAACCATAAAGCGTACACGACTCGGGCGTAAAGGGTAGCCATCAAACAGACTGGGAAAAATGCTACGAACAGAAACCAAGTTGAACTATACACTCGGTTCATCCATTCTTCGGGACATATGTGAGCACAGGCTTTCTCTTCGTTTACGTTATCACACAGGATCCCCACGATATTGATTACAACTCCAAAGATCCAAGAACAGGGAATTATCACCTGAAATAACACAAGGAAGACGATTGGTGCTGTTTTCTACCCAGCTGAAATTTTGAGGCGGGCAATAAGCTGATCATTATAAATTATGAGTTACATTCCCCTAAAGGTTGACAAGTTCAGCAAAACCAAACACGAATTTTGTTCATAGATATATAGTTTATAGATACCGGTGTCTCTCAGAACGTTGCAAAGCTCGGAGGAAAAGGCCAGCAATAGTATATCTTGGATGATCGTTCGTCCAAGGCCTGAACTGATAAACAAACTAGTAAGACAAACCCATGAATGGCATCTTCTTGAAGGTTTGGTCAGATACTGGTATACATTCTTAAGGAAATAAAAACGTGTTCCTCACCCGGGGGGAGGTCCTCCCAGTAATGACTCATATGGGGAGGTTCTGACCGAAAGGGGTACCTCACTTAATCAGGCTTCAGGCATATGAAAGGGTAAGGAGCTCACTAGCAAAAGTATAGAATTCTGTCACTTTGGTCTGAAAAAAGGGCCAAAAGGACCAAGAGATGCATTTTATGGCTTTGAGAAGGTCGTGAAAACTTTTTGAGACAGTGCATTTAGCAGTATTTAAAAGCTAGGGGTGCAAAGGTTCTAAATCAGGTATGTGGAAGGGGTACCATTTGTCATTAGAAAGTACACGAAAGGAGTGCCTTTTCCGTCTGTCAAAATGGTACATAAAAAGGTAAGGGACGGGATGGACGTCGGGCGGTGCCTCCCCGTATAAAGCTTTGTTGATTCCCCCCCCCCGATTCTTCATCACAGTAATGATCGACTCCTCCTCAAAGGACATCATTTTGATAATGAACTTAGAAAAACAAGGATGAGAGTTGACCTTGACTTTGTTCTCGGTAAGGTTTCCCTTGGTTCCAAGAGGATGTAGCACTGCATAATAGCGCTCAAAAGCAGTGCTAACCAAGGTGACAACCGAAGAGGCAGCTCCAACCCAGGCGAGGTTTCCGCTCGTCAATAGTTTGCATAAAAGTAATCCAGCTGTTCCCTCTGGATGAGTAATAGAGTGGATGAAGAGGTACCTTGGTGCAAAGAACACTGCTACAGCCATGTCAGCAATGGCAAGATTCATGAGAAGAAAGTTGACTGGCGTCCTGTGGGATGCACAGTGTATATTTTGACTGGTACGGAAAAAACGGGCAGCAAAAAACAACTTGTTTTGCGACTTTGCTTCGAATTGAGTTGAATAGCGATGTTGCACGTTTTACCACCTACGTTAAAAGGACCTTACAACCTGATTTGTTGCACGTAAGACAGGTTCGAAGGTGGGTAATAAAACGCGCAACATCACCATTCAACTCGTTTTGCAGCAGTGTTGCAAAACTAATTACAGGTTTTTTGTTGCCCGTTATAAAGTAGCTTAACTGATAAGATGCAGCACTTTTACAAACTTTCCAGTTATGGAATAGCAAGAAATTTGCGTCACTGACCAAGCTCGAAGATATACTATACAAAAAAAGGCGGCTATTGGAGGTATAAGCTCCCGTCAATCTCGTTTCCGGGGTTATATCCCGCCTGTCTCATTTCTTAACGGAAGAGGCCACGGGAAAGAACTTCTGCGTTGGATGCCATCTCCGAGTTGCCCCATGCCTCAGTTTCAAAGCAAGGCTACTTAGGAAGCCATTTATATATATGAAAATGATTTTTTTCTTATTTTATGCAAATAAAACCCATTTTCGCAAGAAATGTTGTGCACTTAGCGTCGCTTTGAAACTGAGGGTTTTTTGGAACCTGCAGGAAATGGCCATGTGATTATTTCCGGTTGTCTTTGTTAGTTAGTTGAAACGGATCGCAATCGGAAGAAACCTAACAGTTTTCCAAGGTTCATCTTTGTTGTTTGTAACTTTATATCTTATACTAGGAGACATTCTTGATGGTTACGGTCAGGAAACGGTGAGTTTGTCATTTACAAGTTTTTCGCTAGAGTCGAGTTAGTGGCAAAACTAAACGGTTACAATGGCCTGGAGTACCGGAGTCCGTGGGCATGAACATGAAACTGACTGTTTGATTTCTATTACATAATTGTAATCTAAGAGATAATTGCTACTGTTGCACCTGTTGGCATTTAATTATTTATGTTGCAGGTACATTTCATTTAAGCACTGAGTGATTTTTGCTGGGGATAAGTTACATTAACATGTTAAAATAAAAAAAGGGAATATCTTTTTTTGCACTAACTTTTTCATCTGTCTCAATTTCTAAGCCCAGAAACGTTCTAATCATTATTATAAGGATAATTGTAGTTCAGTCGTGAAGTCTAAGATCGAAATCTCGTTAATGCTGAGTGCCCTAATTTAAATTTAATTCCCATACGATTTTAAAAGCGTAGCATGCTGAGATAGAAATAAATTATAGTTTTCTATTTTCTTTTTCGCCAAAGAGATACCCTCAATAAACGTATCCTGGAAGGGTGAGGCATTATATCTTTTATACCCTACTGCAAAATCATTTACGGTGTAGCTAATGAGGTAGAGTCATAACAAATTTTATATATGGCGTGCACTTTATGGTACAGTTTTTCCAAGGAGCTTTGTCAATCAAAGACGGCTGATTTTATTCAGCTTTTTTTCGTTATAGGTAATATCTTCCCCCTAAACCAAATTTAGCATTTCATCCCTCTCCAGTCCTTATTTTAAATTTGTTGAAAGCGTAATATCATGATAAACTGGAGGGCATATTTTGTACTTCGGAACGAATTATTATTGTTTAGTTGCATACAATGTGTTTGCCGCCTTACCTCATATCCTTTTCCTTTACTATAATGACACACACCAGAAAGTTTCCCATGATGTTTACAATGATAAAAATACCCTGCGCTGTTTTGACTACGGTTTCAGATACTCCAAAGTCCTGATAGGTAGACGACATTTCATGAGCTATATCGGCGGTATCAAGTTGATGATTCAGTTGCGTCTTGCAGTCCTCAAGTGGTCAAGCCGGTATAGACGATTGTCAGATCGAGAGTTTTCTCTCTAAGAAGTAACGCATACAGGAATTCCTTAAACAATAATCATCTGTGGCAAAAATTAATAATGATATGAATTAAAATGTGAAACGTTATTGCTTATAAAAGATATATGGCATAACACGTGACAGCTTCCTCGAACCAATGAAGTGATTTAGAAATTGATGGTTTGTAGTCCATTTGACTGGAAAACAATCTGAAGCTCTAATATGATAAGGGAAAACTGAACCAAGACAAAACGGTCTCAAACCTGTAGACCCAACAAAGTATCAATAAATAAAAGTACCAGCAAATCATTTTGACGGTAAACTTACAAAACACCTGAGCTGGTTTTATTTCCCATGAATTGGAATTTAGAAATTATGGTTTTCGAGCAACGGGGAAAATCGTGGCACCCGAAGAAAATTCGCTCGTCCCAGATTTGAAAACCAACAAAAATGAAGTATTTAGTGTTATAGAGGTACCCCCATTCAGACCCTCGTTGAATACAGGAGAAAATATACTTATTCGAAAGAGTGCCGAGGGGTTTGTTTATTTTTCTTCTTCCCATGTGTGACTCTTACTCTCGAGGTAAGCGCCCTTTCGATCAAATACGGTAAAACATTTGATTATATAGACACGAGTGTTTTACTGGAAAATATACCACTCGTAAAATTCATAAAAAAACTACATCTGTGACCCGAGTGGTTTATTTTCCATAATCTCGCACGTGAGTTTATCGATGACGTAATTTCGGTCATTTCCTCCATTATTTTATCGATGTCTGTTTGTTTATATAATAAAAAGGACATTACACGGCGGCTTGAAGATATGAATTTTATTTTCTCGTCAAAAAAACAATATTTTACTCACTTGCTGCGCTCGTTGGTAAAATATTGTTTTGCCCCACTTAAATAAAATTCATATCTTTGCTTTGTGTAATATCCTCTATGTATTTTTTTGAAGAGCCCCGCGGCGCTTATTGATTTTCGACTTAAAAGATGCCAGGGTTATTCGGAGGTTGACGTGCTAAATTATATATGGGATAAGATTTCCGTGTAACCCCTTACATTTATTATGCATGTATGTTTCCGCTCGATCTATTGATATCATCTATTTGTGTGAAATGAGTATGAAATTGCTGCGTGCATAATAAATGTATGAGTTTATACGGAAATTCTACCACTTATAGAATTTCTGTGGTTTTAGGGCCCCACTTGCGCTGAAAACTCTTCTCGGAGAAAGTTCTCCTGCACAAGCCAAACATGTACGGCGAAAAGTCGAGGTTGCGGGTAAAACTCTTCGTATAAGAAGATCACGAAAGCAGCGCGTGATTATTGCTTACAAAATTATTTTTGGTGCCCAATCACAGACAAGTATTCGAATAAGTCGTGGAACTGGTTCTTTTAGAGTAGCATCCCAGGGGCTCTCTCACCAGTTCTTGAAAGCTCAGTTTCGCCGCCGTTTCTCCTGACGTAACTGGGTCCTCTGCAAGCGATACTTGGAAGTAGGTAATATTAAAGGCTTCTAACGTGGCATGTAATCATAAACTTGTGATCGAGACTGGAAGATATAACCTAACTCCTCAAGACAAAAGATTATGCCCTGTTTGTCATTCCAATAAAATTGAAGATGAAATTCACTTTCTCTGCTATTGCCCAAAGTATTTAAAACTTAGAAATTAATTTTTGCTTAAATATGAAGTCATCTCCGTAATTTTCAGCAGCTATCTTACTCGGACCTGGTGATTAAACCGAGCGATGAACATATTTATCTTAATTAACGACTGACGAATTATATCTCATTATTGAATAATTTGCGCGCCGTGTACTGTCATGTAAGAATAATGTCACTTGATTATCTGTTATTAATATCATAATTATTTATCTTTTCGTTCTTATCTTACGTACCTTTTGCAATACTGTAAATAATTATAGTCATGCAAATAAAGGTTATTGTTGCTGTTGTTGTTGTTGTTGGATCGAAAAAAACAGCTTACAACAACAAAACAGTAATCATTGTTATGATATAAGCAGTGGTAATTAACCTTAATATTCAGTGATAATGATGACGAGTCTGTAAAAACCAAACTTGGAATTCGAGTATAAAGCTATACAGCTATACAACGCAACTCAACGGGGTTGCCAAGCTCCTCAAGTTGCGTTTCCATATAATTCAGGTTGCTGAATTGAACCTTTATTTTTTCATTTTTTAAAAATGTCAATTAACATGAATCCAAGACTAAAATTAATTTTAAAACAATGTTCGTTCCAAAGGTACCTTCCCTGCATTGTTTCAAAGCACATTTGTGGTGCCAAACTCATTTTGGGATAAAAGCAACATTAATTACAACAATAGTAAAAACAAATCAAGATGCATTAAGTCAAGATATATTGACAAGAGATTTTAATTTGACATGTTTAAAAGACAAATATTTGAAAATTGAACCTTTTTGTCAAAAGTTTCCGCTCACCGATCAGTGCCTAAAATGTCGGATGGTTTTACCGGACGAATGGTTTCCCTAATGCGACCACTCGCATTCGCGCCAGCTTTTCATTTTTTTACATTTTATTTTATTGTGTTTTGAAGTAAGAGTACAATAACATGCCCGCGGGTAGCTAAGCCAATCTAGGCGGGTCATGTTTACAGAAAATAAACTAAATACAGCTAAAAGTAACAAGAGAACTAAAGAAACTAAAATTGACAACAATGACTAGAGACTACTGATAAACTAATGGTATTACTAATAATAAATGACAACAGTTATGACAAGAGACTACTGATAAACTAAACGATATTCATATCAACTAAGAGGAAAATAAATTCAGCTTAACTTTTTGAACGATTTCAGGGAGATCAATATAACAGTCTTCTGAAGCTAGGATCTCAAAAAGTGTTTGTATTATTTTCCTCTTAAAGGCATTTTTTGAAAGTTTTCTTAAAGATACAGGCATTTCATTCCATATCTTTTTGTTCCGATTCTAGAAAATGAATTCACTTGAATTGAGAGCCTGGAACTTTGTGTGTAAAAGTTATTAGAGGCAGAGGATCGAGTATTATAAGAATGAATATCAGAAATATCTTGTTGAATGTTTCCAGGAGCATTATTGTATCTTATTTCAAACATAAGGTTAGCTAAATGCTCATAATGCAAAAATTTTAACGGTAAAACACCGGCGTCAATAAATAAAGGAATTGCATGCTGATTTCGCTCAGAAAAATAGATAAAGCGAAGAGCTCGCTTTTGCAAAAAAATAGCCAGTGATAATTTCTAATTGGAGAAACTCCCCTCGTCAATGTTTAAAAAATATTACAAAGCTCTAGAGCTCGTCGATCGATTTCAGTTTAATTCCTCAATTTTTGCCTCCGAAATTTCGTTGTCTTTCATCTCTTGTAATTATGGGCGAACATAAACGAACAGGAAAAATTTTATTACTTTAATTGATTGTAAGCTATCAAAGGATACAGCGGGTGAAAGTTGGAGAATTATACAATCAATGTTCTCAATACAAAAGTTATTTTAAAAACGAGTGTATTCGGACGAAACGAGTCGTTGCTGATTGCAAATAATCAATGCCAAGACAGTTTATAAGTAGTAAAAATAGAAGGTCTTATTTACACAGGTTGCCTTGTTATTAATACAGTGCGTGAATTCTTGGAACCTAAACAGTAAACTTGAATGTTTAGTAGGACCAAAATTAAATAATGTCTACAGGCTTAGCTAGCTTTTCACTTTTCTTTTCATCAGTTCCTGAAAAGAATTTTGTCATGGTTTGTCTGAACTTAGTGTTCAGTAGAAAACGGACAACTGCGAAACGTTTGCCCATGCATTTGCAGCGTATATAGGTTTAGAAGTAGAGAAATGATTTGGCATATATTTTACCAAAGCAAAACGGAAAACGTATCCAAAAAGGAACAAACTTTAACCCTGGCTGGCAATTTGTATACAATACGCAACAGAGAATTCAGTGGCACGACTTCAAACTGAAGCTTTCGTCTGTCTTACGACCTCTTGTATAAAGATGCTTCGAAACAGCAAAAACAGCCAGCGCACGCGAGCTTAAAGTCACCTCTGAAATATCTTACCTTTCCTCTCGTTTAGAATTCTCGACTTTGACGTAACCATAATGGCTAGTACGCGCTCTGCTCAAATTCTCAGTTAACAAGAGATATACATTTTCAAGCTTTTCCATTTGATTTCAGCTGTTTTTCGCTATCAGTATTACTTTTAATTAACATCGTTTTAACTCACCAAATATAAGCTCAACTTTTACATCTTATTATTTCCACATGACTAGATGCCGATGAGCCTTTACATTCTCTGTGATTTCCCCAGTCTCTGTTGCTAAGTTGCTCACGGAGACCGTACGTGCATTGCGTTAATTCCCGTTAAGCTTGTCCTTGAACCCGTCGGTCACAGCCACCGATCTGAAGGCCAAACAAAAGTCGCCCATCTCATTGGTTGCCATTATGCAGATAATAATGACTCTTTGCTTATTTGTAGCTGTGAGGACGAAATTGCAGCGAATGTTTTTCTAGATGTCATATTACGTGTCATTTTTTACTGTATGTCAGAGTTCTCCGCACGCTCGCTCAATCATTACTTTTTTCCAAACTTTTTTTTTTTGTAGATTTCCTAATTCACACATTTAATTTCCAAAATAGTACTTACATACACTAAACACTACATTACGCAATTAATACTTTTAAAAAAAACCGTTACTTGCTTTTCAACTCTTTTATTAAGTTACTTCGCGTTGTAGAAGATAGAGGATTAGCGCAATTTTGTTACTGAAAATTTTAGATGAGAACGGCTTTAGCCCTTCAGATATTTGTATTTCTCAACAATTTTTTAGTAAAGAGATTTTTAAATTCAAAATTCATTGAGATATTGTGCTTCTGATTGCCAGCTGGTCACAGAAAT